TTAACAGGCTGTTTTTTGTTACTGTGCCTTTAAGACTGATATATGTAAATGAGGTCTGTTCTGACTGGCTGTTCTGTATTGTGCCTCATTGAAAAAAGCAGGGCTATGACAAACCTAAGTGGGTGGGGCTAAACTGCTTTAGGTTGGCTGGTATGACTGATCCACTCGTACCAGCACAACACACACTAACACACCACCACCACGTCAGTGTTACTGCAGTGCTGAGAGTGATCCACCACCCAAATAGTACCTGCTCTGTGAGGGTCCATGGGGGTCCTGACCACTGAAGAACAGGGTAAAAGGGGGCTAACAAAGTATCAGAGAAACAGATGGACTACAGTCTGTAACTGTAGAACTACAAAGTGCACCTATATAGTAAGTGGAGCTGATAAAATGGACAATGAGTGTAGAAACAAGGAGGTGGTCATAATGTTATGCCTGATCGGTGTATATATGTAAATATGTAGCTTTTAAATATAAATTAACAATAAATACAAGGCTAACAAATACAAAGTGCACTTAGTCATATTAGCATTGGACAAACCACAACAAAATTTAATAGAAAAAAAAAATTCTGATAAGAATCCCATTTTTTAAGAATCTGACTGAATTGTGTCCCAAATGTTGGCATCTGTGAATGTTTAAATGTGTTTAAATGTGATGCTGTAAACCTTCTTGTAGCTGCTAGGTTGATCTGCCATAACCTACGTTATGCATAAAGTTTTTCACATAAGGGTTTTGATTGGCCACTAAATCTAGTCCCCTTAACCATATTTAGGTCACGCAGTGTCATTCCCTAGATGGTCTTTCACTAGGTAGGGAGCTGGGGGTCGAATGAGGACACTCCTAATGTCACTAACACCAGAGAGGGTATATGAAGCCAAGAGCCACCGTGTCATGAACGCAGTCACGTGGTTTTTGGCGCACGGTAAGGCGGACTCGTTCCCTCTTTAAGCACACAGAGACTGGAGGCTCCTCATTCGCACGAGCGGGAGATTCTGCCCGTTTCGCCAAACTTGAGCGATTATTTTTCTCCCCTTCAGGATTGCAGCGGAGTTGTGGTCATTTTCGTAAATGTGAGGGTCTTGTGAGTATTTTGAGCCTAAACACTAATTTTTCGACGAGCTGATTTCAATAAAAACCGGCTTTGTTTCGGGTTTGTTCAGCTCGCTGCCCAGTCTATCCGCTCGGGAGCCGGAGAGGGGGCGGACAGTAACCCCACCCCCCTTTTCGATTCGGGGTTTACCTTACATAACCTTTGCTAACGCTGCTCCGGACCAGTGATGTGCATTCCGTCTCTTTTCAGTGAGTCGGATCAGTTGGCACAGTTCACAAAGAGTCGACTCGTTCGGATCCCAAACGGCTCTTCATCATATAGCGCACTGTTCCAGTTTTAGTTTCCTAACCTACTTTAGCCGCGGTAGTGTTATAAATCAGTCAAGTACTGTTCAATAAAACATCATTCTAATTCATTAACATAGCTGTATTATGTTTGTTGTTTAAACCTTTTAACTGAGTCAGACGTTATGTAGTTTCATTGGATTTAGCCAGTCATCAAACAAAAGGTGGGTAAAGGTAAAAAAAAATCAGAAGAACTAATAAGGCTCACCGGGAAACATGGCTAAGAATTATTGCATTAAAAAAATCAGACACAATAAACAGGAGCTGTTAGGGGAAAAAGAGGGAGCGGAGCCAGAACTATAGAAATCAAGGAGGCCTGTGACTTTCAGCCTCAGTGTCATGAGATCTACTGATCTGATTTGTCTTAATTTATAAAAAAAAAAAAAGAGGGAAAAAATGATCACTATTGCTGATGCAATGTCGACTGTTCTGAAGAGAAGGAGCACATATGGCACACACGTCAAACACATAGCGTTAATAAATAGGTTATATGGGAAAATCGAGCTCAAACAGGACAGTTTCCTCAGCATTATACATATCAGACTCGACACGAGGAACGTACTGGAATAAAATCATTTTTTTTACATGTAGTGAGATAAAAGTCTCTGTCATCAGAAGTAATAGCCAAAATACAACATAAATTCAAAGGAAAATGCCTAATAACAGTAAGAAAGTATTCATACAACACAAAAATAGACAGCTTTAAACTTTTTAATCACATATTTAAAAAATAAAACACACAAATTGAACACACAGTACTTTGAATTGTGCTGCTTTCCAAACATCCCATCATAGCTTTTTAACTATTTTTCATTCTTTTGGGTTATTAATCATTCAGATACTTGTTTTACAGTTGGAGAATAGTACATTCATTCCATATAACGTCTAAGGCCACAACTCCTATGTTATGAATATGTTTTTTTTATGATGCACTTCCATGGCAAAACAATGCAAAATATTGCCCAGAGGAAAATTCAGCTAAAATTCCCTTACTGAAAATATAAAGAGAAAAGCATGGTTGATTCCTTTGAAATACTGTATGTCAAGTAAAGTAAAAAAGTACATTATAAGCTTCTAGATAGAATTTAACCATGTAATTCTCACTTATCTAGATACCGTGACGTGAGTGATACCTGTACCTTTTGTGGAAATTGGGAAGAAAATCTTATACACCTTTGTTATAGTTGTAGTGTGTTTGGAAGAAACTGTGCCTTTATTGTTTTTCCTGCATGAACATTGACTATAACTTTGAACTCAAGGACATCATTTGTTACTATGACGACAAGAACAAAGTCTTTGAAATGATTGTGAATTTTTTATTCTCCTTGCTAAATTATATGTTCATAAGGAAGAGTGTTTTAAAAAATGTGCCTAAGCTTATAAAGAATCTCAGAATGATTAATAACCAAAAGAATGAGAAATTATTAAAAATCTATGACGTTTGATGTTTGGAAAGCAGCACATTTCAAAGTACTGTGTGTTTTAAATATGTGATTAAAAATTACCTTTATTTCAGTTGAACTTTTATTTTGTAAGTTGTAACTTGAAAGTGTTTATTATTTGATATTTTGTATTATTCTTTACTTATGAAATACAGTGAAAAAAACTGTCAGCTCTTTGCTGCTGTAGTTAAACCTCCACTGTTGAGCAGTTCTAGGATTAAGGCTGTTAGTTTTAAATATATAGTTAGTTGTCTATATTTCTAGGAAGTAGATGCACTGTATTATAGTGTAATCGGCCCAGAGGTATAAGAGATCTGGATATAAAGGCATTAGTTACATTATCATAATGGTAACATATATGGTTCAACAATATTGTTGAACATTTGTGGGCAAATTGGAGACGTTACATTTATTTAAATCACCCAGCACAAAAAAGAGCATCTGTCTAGGAGACTCATTCAGTGACTGAGTAACACACTCAGCAATGCGCTCTGCCATACCTCTAAAATTGGGGCCAGGCACATTAATAAAAATAAGCCTTATTTGATTCCCTGGAAAGGTAGAAATAAAAACAACAAATAGTGTTAATATTACACTATATATACACACACTAATGAACTAAAACATCAGGGCCACCTCCCTAATATGCTGTTGATTCTCCCTGTGCCACCAAAACAGCTCTGACCCGACAAGGTGTGACAGTCAGATGTCCACATACTTTTGGCCACACAGTGTATTAGATTTTTACTTGACAGACAGCATGGAGGGGTCATTCAGAGAAGGGTCTGGTAATGTCTTTTCACTATAGGCTTATGTTGGCACAATGTATTGTTTAGGCACTAGGCAGTTAAACCCTGATAGCAAGAGAACAGTGGACCACTGTCGGCCCACTGATGGCAAAGCTGGTGGTCCACTGGCGTTTTGTTCAGCGTTTTCTGGACGGTTCACTGGTGGTTAAACATAGCAATAGACAAAATTCCACTTATCATCGCTCATTTGCCACTCACAGTGCAGTTTACTTATTTTTCCTTCCTTCCTTTCTTTAGTTATACTCTGCGAATTAGTTTAGTAAATAATTTTAATCCAGCTCAGTTTCAGCAACAACATTTTCTATGAAATCATTTTATATGAGACCTAGTCATTTTTTTTTTCTCTCAGTTGTCTGTAATATTTATCTTAGTATATTTTTCAAAATAAAAGTCTGTGTGCTTTTAAAATCTGTTTGAGGAGTTTAAAAACTAGTTAGAGCTTGTATGCAGGACAGTAATCTGGGTGGTCTGAGGGTGGTCCAGCAGTGGCAAACAGTCAGCACGGTGCTGACCATATCAAGCCAGTGGACCGATATATGCTTGCTATCTGGGAATCTATGTTCATCCTTTATTAGTATGATGCAATAGGCTATAAGGTCTGTCACGCCCATAGTATAAGAGACTCCTACATGTACGGTGACACGTGTTTGGCATAAAACTTCATGTATAGATAGAGGAGGGTCTGTTGATTTCATTTCACTACGGATTTGTGTTGACACAATGTATTGTTTAGGCACTAGGCAGTTAAAACCAGGTCCATCCTTTATTAGCATAAAAGTAATAGGCTTTAAGGCATGCCACGCCCATAGTATGAAAGACTCCTACAATTTACGGTGACACTTGTTTGATGTAAAACCATAAAGTGTTTTAGATTATTTTAAGAAAGTAAATTATTAATGTGCATATTCATTCATATAAACTAAGAAGTACTGAGCACTAGAAACTTTTATTGTGAAAAATCATTTCCAGTCAGAGACTCAGAGAACTTGTAGAGAGGAGAATTCCCACTCTGTAATAGCTTCCGGGTTTCTCAGACGCTAGAGGGCGCTCCCGAGCGAGTCCAAAATGAATGGGTTGATATGGAGCATTTGAGCAAAATCATAGTTTATAAATGCTGAAACATTTTTTATGTAAAAGAGTACAATCATTTCCTGAACACAGAAAACATTTTAACACTGCTGTTATATTTTAAGAGCTTTTAAACTCGAGTTAAAGGAGTTTAAAACGGCGCCTCGTGTTTATTCATGACGTCAGTGAGCGCAAACAGCCAATGAGCTGCTCCGCTCGCCAATCAATCATCACGCTCTAGCAGTAATGCCCGCCTTCTGTTGCCCAAAACCCGTTTGCTGTAGAATAAAGGAAACATACAGGTGAGATTTCTTTGTTTTTTTAGTGAAATCCACCCTTCTACTGTCTAAAACTAAAGAAAGGTTCTGGGAGTGATTAGAAACTATTTTAGCCTTTCGTTTTTAGCCTTTGAGCTCCATTCATTCCCATTCATTGAGAACTCGCTAGCGGGGGCCCTCTGCTGTTTGAGCAGGCCTGTGTTTGATATAACGGGTGGAATATGAAGAGGCCAGGCTCTCATGGGACTACGAGGATACACTCATGATTTCATCAGCCGGGTTGTTCAAGTTAGGACTGTCTTCTCCTCGCTGCTGTAGTTAAACCTCTACATTCTGCATCTGTGTCTAAAGGTAAAACCGAAATTTTAATTTCCTTTGCGATTTACGGGCCGTAACAGTGTTCCGTTTGCTTTGCCTGTGAAATGTGCCGTTTGGAGCTACACTGAACCTGAATGAGAGAGAAGTGTCACAACACGTGTCTGTCTGAAGCCGGCATCTTATTTGCCGGCTGGTGACAGAAAAGCCAACTTTGCACATCTCGTCCTGTTCGCAGTGTTGTATGAATACTTCCTTACTGTTATTAGGCATTTTTTTCTTGAATTTTATATTGTATTTTGGTTATTATATCTGACGACAGGGACTTTTATCTCACTATATGTAAAAAAAAATATATATATATATATATATATATGATTTTATTTCAGTACGTTCCTCGTGTCAAGAGTGTGATGAAACGTATAATACTGAGGAAAACTGTGTGGCCTGTTTAAGCTTAATCTTTTCCCATATAACTTAAATTAATCAATTATGTGCCCCACGTGTTGCCATGTGCGCGCTTTATCAGAGCAGTCGACATTGCATCAGCAATAGTGATGTGTCGTTCTTGAACGACTCGGCTCATTTTTTCCCCCTCTTTTTTAGTAAATTAAGACAAATCAAATGAGTAGATCTCATGACACTGTGGCTGAAAGTCACAGGCCTCATTGATTTCTATGGGTCGTTCTGGCTCCGCTCCCTCTCTTCCCCTAACAGCTGCTGCTTATTGTGTCTGATTTCTTTCTTTGCTGTTTTAATGCAATAATTCTTAGCCGTGTTTCTGAGTGAGCCTCATTAGTTCTTCTGATTTTTTTTACTTTAACTTGCCTTTTGTTTAATGGGTTACTGGTTGAATTCAATGAAACTACTTAACGTCTGACTTAAATGTTGGTCAAATGTTTAAACAACAAACATAATACAGTTTTGGTAATGAATTAGAATGAAGTTTTATTGAACAGTACATGACTGATTTATAACACTAACGCGGCTAAAGTAGGGAACTAGAACTGGAACAGCGCGCTAAATAAAGAAGAGCCATTTGGGATCCGAACGAGTCGACCCTTGTTTGTGAACTGATCCGACTTATTTTATTACAATCTTTTAGTTTTTACTCGACTTACTGAGCCGCTGCTTGTCTGCTAGTTGTTGTATTTCAGTAATAAAAACCTCAAGATGAGACACAAATGCATATTAACGTCACAGCTACTTTTAAACGTGGTTTAGAGCATGAATTGACTGACTGTGATCTTCAGAAATGAACACTTCACTATTCAGAGTCTAATAATCGTGTTGTTTTTCTGTCCAGAAGAAAAATGTGTGGTATATGGGCCTTATTTGGGAGCGATGAGTGTCTGTCGGTTCAGTGCACCAATGCTATGAAGATTGCGCATCGGGGTCCGGACGCTTTCCGCTTTGAGAACGTCAATGGTTTCACCAGCTGCTGCTTCGGTTTCCACCGTTTGGCCGTTGTGGACCAGCTGTATGGCATGCAGCCCCTGCGAGTGACGAAGTTCCCTTACCTCTGGCTCTGCTACAACGGCGAGATCTACAACCACAAACGGGTATGAGTTGCTGTTGACCACTTTAAAGCTGCCTGACAGGTTTGGTTGACCCATCGTCCTTCAGGAGGTTCCAGTACGTTATGTTTGCTTTTGTATCCAGTTCTTCAAGAAAAACAACGGCAGCTCTGTAGTCTCGGTACGAGCTGTTCATGGGGCATTTTGAAATTGAAATTAGTGCTGGGTGAAATTCAGTATCACTTTATGTTCCAGATATATCTCAGTGTCGCAGTATATAAAAATATTTTGCATTAATAAAGTGAATGAACTTTCTCTAAAAAGTCTGTTCAAAAGGAAGCTTACAGTTTTGTAAAATTGAAAATCAGATTATGATTAGATGTTAATCAGAAGGTTCTGATTGGTTGTCTGCATGTCTGGGTATACGTACCTCCCTGGAGCACTTTTAATTATTCTGTTCTAGTTCTAGTCTAGTCTACATCAGTTGTAGTCAGCAATATCACTGCCATTGTGACAAAAAACAGCAGTGCTGTTGGAGTTTTTAAACACCTCATTGTCACTGCTGGACTGAGAATAGTCCACCAACCAAAAATATCCAGCCAACAGCGTCCTGTGACCACTGATGAAGGACTAGAGGATGACCAACACAAACTGTGCAGCAGCAGACGAGCTATCGTCTCTGACTTTACATCTACAAGGTGGACTGACAAGGTAGGTGTGTCTAATAGAGTGGACAGAGAGTGGACACAGTGTTTAAAAACTCCAGCAGCACTGCTGGGTCTGATCCACTTGTACCAGCACAACACACACTAACACCACCACCACGTCAGTGTTACTGCAGTGCTGAGAATGATCCACCACCCAAATAGTACCTGCTCTGTGGGGGTCCATGGGGGTCCTGACCACTGAAGAACAGCGTAAAAGGGGGCTAACAAAGTATCAGAGAAACAGATGGACTACAGTCTGTAACTGTAGAACTACAAAGTGCACCTATATAGTAAGTGGAGCTGATAAAATGGACAATGAGCGCAGAAACAAGGAGGTGGTCATAATGTTATGCCTGGTCGCTGTAAATTATAGTGTTTTACAGTAACTTTTTTAATACGGCACTGCTGGGACCTTTTAACTTAACAGCGAAATCGATATGTTTGTTAAGTTGAACCCCTTTGATGAATAGAAGAATCAAATCGGGGGCCTGGTTATGCCATATCGGCAATTCTCATTTATTGTTATTAGGTCATTTGTCATTATTAGGCTTGTCTGTCAGACAATGCTGGCAAACATGGTATCACCCCCTCCTGTGAGCTCTGCCTTAGATTAGATTGGTTTAGAAATGCCACCCTCAGTTTATTCCTAACCTAATAAGTCTATGTTCCCATCCAAACTTAGCCCAAAATTTCTTCAAAAAAAACCTTGCTTTGTGGTTTGAGTGAGAGCAGTGAACATCAGCTCTCCTGTTAAAGGGGGAATAGGGAAGGTTGACAGACATGTTTGTTAGGTCATCGTCTTATGATATTATAATGGAAACATCAGACTTTTATTTTAAGTTCTGTTTTTGAGATTGCTGGTTGATTTGTTCTAACATTGTGCTGCTTTGTTCTCCCTAAAGCTGAGGGATGCTTTTAAGTTTGACCACCAAACCAATATGGATGGAGAGATCCTGCTTCATCTGTACGATTCCTTCGGCATTGAGAAGATGGCCACCCTGCTGGATGGTGTGTTTGCCTTCATCCTGCTGGACACAGCTAATAGGAAAGTTTTCCTAGGGAGGGATACATACGGCGTGAGGCCCATGTTCAAGCTGCTGACTGATAACAGCTTCCTCGCTGTCTGCTCAGAGGCCAAAGGTAAGATTTCAGGATCTGGGATGCCTTTAAAGAGGAATTCCTTCAAATTCAAACCAAAAAAAAGTAAACTGTGAAGATGTAAATAAAGTCATTCAGAGTGGTTTGATGCGAAATGAGTCAGAATTGTTCACAGTGGTGGTGATAGGAACCAGACGTCTGAAGTTTAATGCCTACAAAAGCTCCCTCACAGAAAGTTATCACAAGAAATGGTTATGACTACACTGCCTGATGTCTAAGACCCTGTTTTATGGTAGTTTTGGGAAAATTTTGGTCTATAACAGATTTATTTTTGATATCCATTCATGGTGGAGAGGCACATGCAGACAAAATTAGTGCCTAAAGAAACGTTTAAGGTTTTCCACTATTTTTTCCCATCTTCAGCATTACATATAAAAACACCAAAGACACATGTAGGTTCACTGGACATTTTAGATAGTAAACAGAATGCCTACATTTGTGTAGACATCGCAGCTCCTGGTTCCTAAGTTTCTCTATAGTGCATCATTTCACATCAAAACACTCTGAATGACTTTGTTTACAAGACGACTTCATTTACACTATTAATTGAAAATGCATGTTCAATGAATAAATCATGAATTGTTGGTCAAGGCTAGCGTGTATGTGGGTGTTTCACTGCACAGATGGGTTAAATGCAGAGGTGAAAGGGTAACTTAACAGTATTATTTGGTCTCATACAAATGAGTGACTCTGATTCATATTCTTTGGGAATCTGTCCTCTCTCTGTCTGTCCTCAGGTCTAACACAGATCACACACTCCATGTCTGAACCGGTGAAGATCACCCCGTTCCCGCCTGGCCACTTCGAGGTGTTTGACCTGAAGCTGTCTGGAAAGGTGGTGTCCATCAAGCTGGACCGTTTCCATAGCTGCACAGACCAGCCCCAACATGCCCTTTATGACAACGCTGGGAAGCTCGGAAAAGGTAGACACCTGATAGAGAGGTCATATGTCACACATGATCAGTGATGTTATTTCTAACCTATGTTAGATTTGCTACTTTTCTTTTGGTTTTCTTACAATATTTATTTCTCTCTTAGTTTTTACTCTCTTACTTCTACTTAGTTTTGTCTTGTTCAGACATGTTGTTTTTTAGTTACAAGTACTACTGACTGAAATTGATGAACAATGGGGAGAGAGCAGCTCGTGTTACCTATTTGAGCGAGCAGCTTCTGGAGCTCTGTGCGCTGTTAATGTTCCCATTCCTAGATAGGGGTAGGAATTTCGATTCGATTATGATTCAGAGGCTGTGATGCGATTATAAAACGATTATCGATGCATCTTGATGCACCTTTTTTTTCTATACAGGATTTCTATTTTCTCACTGTGTGAGGAGTTGGAACTTTTAAAGCAAAGTATTTGTAATGATCCATAATGAACTTACTTCCAATATCTTTTATTGATAAAACAAATGTAAGTGATGAGGCAAGTGAACTAGAAGGCTCTCATACTGCTCTTGTTTGGAGCACGTGAGACGCTGCTGCCACTGATCTGTGACAAAGTGCGCTGTCACGGTGACACAAGATTCTGTGGCAATGGGTGTCCATACAGCACGTTACAGCTGTTCTACCTGTTTTCGTCAGTGATTTTATAACTTCGGTTTTGGTCTCATTGTAGAGAGTGGGGGGATCGCTGTTTCAGTAAAATACCTCTGAGACGGGACGTTTGCGAAAGCCCTGGTTCTCAATGACTGAGTACTGGTGTGCAGACTGCAGGTCACATAGCAACGCAGTCATGCCTGGCTAGTAGCAAACGAAAAGGCAAAGAGAGAGATTTAAGAAGAACATTTGGAGACAAATGACATTTATAAGCACTGCAGTTGTTTCTTTAAACGTTAAATCTTTAACAAGAGACTGTCAAACGTTAAGAAGTTGCGAAGATGAAGTCAGCACATTTACATTCTGCACCTCAGAATTTAAGGTGGAATGGGAAAATTCAAACGAAACTCGTGAATAAGAAGCGATTTCAGCCTCGTAAAACAGTCGAATGAGAAACATTTTACAAGAAACTGTTTTACTTTTGAGGAAACGTTTCCTATCGGAGATGGGAGGAAAGCGGCTATAGCTAAAGCTTAAAGCAGAGCAAATCAACTCTGCGTTTTCATTCTATTTATATTTTTCATTATTTTTCATTATATTTATATTTTAAAACCTATACTAGGACATTAGCACATACTGAGACATATAGGACATAAAATATTGTGGCTCTAGCCTTGGTTTAGCCTTAACCATAGCAGCCTGCTAGCCAGGCCTTTGTTTTCGCTCGACCCGCCTGCGGTGCGCCTCCGTCGGTCAGCTGCGTCTTGCAACGGAGGGATAACGCGGCCTTTTACTTCAACAAAGCTGAGAAATTCTTGGCTCAACAGATAATATTTACTAAACTCCTGCAGAGTCTGACGCTCTGAGATGTAAGCGCAAGTAAACGGGATGCATATATGAGACAAATGACTTGAGAAATTCTGATGTGAAACCACGCCAGAGCCAAACCAGAGAAGATGGTATGTACATGTGCAGACCACAGGTTAATCTGTCTGTTGTTCAGTTTTTTGCACAATAAAAATATTTAACATTTAATTCATTTATCAAATATTGTTCTAATGACTAATTATATAATAAATACTAATTACAAAAAATGGTTTAGTCTTAAGCATCTCAAACTGTTGGATTTTACATCCCAGCAAGCAAACGGCATAATCAACATTCAAGCTTAACCCTTGTGTGGTGTTGATATGTTTGGTACTCAGTGGTCTGGTGGACCCACTAAATTATTGGTTTTTTTTTTTTTGTTTTTTGTTTTTTTTTTTAAATCAATACAGCCACAATAATTTATGTAAAAATACCAGATGTGTCAAATATCACAAGTGTCCAGCATAGAGTTCTCCTTTAGCAGCTGTAGCCAGTCACCAGCCTGTCCATGTTGTCCACCCTCACACACACACACACACACACACTAACAGCAGGCCATGTAGGAGGAGAACAGAGTGAAGGACACAGCACCTCCACACTTTTACTCCCCGCAGGTTCACCCAACACCACATGTGTAATATAAATGTGTGGGGGGTGAACAGAGTGAAGACACTGAAAATGGGTTATTTTATATGTTCTTCACAGAAAATGAGGAAAGGCCAAGAATCTGAGGTTGAGATAATAATAAATCGCATCATTTTTTCTTTTGGTAAACATTGAAAATGGGTCCCACAGACCTGAACACCACACAAAGGTTAATGTTTTATTAGTGACGCAGAACACAGCTTTTACCAAAATAAAATATTTAAAAAGGGGCACTATAAATATAACCTAGTTAGAGACTTATAATTAAGGATCAGGTATCAGTATTAGAAGGGAAAAAGTGGTATTGATGCTTCTCTATGAATAAGGCCTTTAGAGCTTTGAGTCTGACGTTTTTAGTCCAAACCCGAACGTGGTCCAACAAGATTGTGTCTGAATCTGAAGTTTTGAATCTGGACCTCAGTGTAGCCTGACAGAATTCTGTATGAGCCCACTGGAGACCTAATGAGACCCCGCATGCCTCTTGACGGCACCCGCATGCCTCTTGACGGCAGTTTTTTTTTCGAAAGACTAAAGTGGGAGGGTTTATTCCACTAAAAGAGGAAGGGAACGGCTGTGAGAGACCTGAACATTAAATTTCAATCTGAAGAGTCCAACATAATGCCTGAGCTCAAACAAACCCCAACATGAATAGCCAAGAAAATTCAGACCAATATGTCCAACTCCACCTGCAATCCGCCCTACTCATTTAGCGTCCAGTGTAGAAACATGCTCAGTACTGTTTGTTTGCTTGTGTAGGTTTTGCTCTGGAGACAGTGAAGGCCAACATCAGGATCCTGTTTGAAAACGCAGTGAGGAAACGTCTGATGGCTCACAGGAGAATCGGATGCCTCCTCTCAGGTACCGCCATTCATTTTTGACGTTGTCTTATATTTCTTTTGAACAAGTTCTTTAATTTATGTATTTTAATGTATAGGCAATTATTACTACTAATAATAAGTTATATGGTCTCTCTCATACCCAATGTTGCTTTACAGAAGTACATGAAACAAGAAAAACAAAGATAAGCACATAAAAAACAAACAAAAATAAATATAAAATTTATGCCAACAAAACTCTCCCAATATATAGGTGGGCTTGACTCTAGCCTGGTCGCGGCCACGCTTGTCAAGCTGGCCAAGGAAACTGAGTTGCAGTATCCCGTTCAGACGTTTTCGATCGGGGCAGAAGACAGTCCGGATGCTATCGCTGCACGCAAGGCCAGTGAAGTTTAATCACCAGGGGGAAAAATTCCTGCTTATCCTGACTATGAACCTTATTCTGTTACAGTGACACCAGCAGGACTTTAGATTTGTCTGTTCTGAATGTTGTTGTTGTTCTTCTGTAGGTAGCAGCCCACATAGGCAGCGAACACTACGAAGTGAATTTCACCCCAGAGGAGGGCATCAAGGCTGTGGAGGAGGTCATCGTTCACCTGGAGAGTTACGACATCACCACAGTGCGCGCTTCTGTTGGTGAGCACAGGCCATGTTACTGTTGGTTACTTTCCCATTCAATAAGGAAAAAATCCTGCAAAGGCATCATAAAGCAGCTGTGCTACTGTTTTGGGTATATTTTTGTTCAGTAGGACTGCAACAAACGATTAATTTGATAGTCGAATAATCGGTCGATTACTGAAACGAATAAGCGATTATTTGGATTATAAATTACTACATCACCAAATAACTTTTATGTAGCTATTAGCTTTTAAATTTAGCTTGAGGTTGTTTTATGCATTTGCTGGCTAACAATAAAGACAAAGATGAATAACATTCAAGAATTAAGTTTTAATGAACTTTCCTGCTAATACAACAGATAAAAAAATAAACTCCAATATATTTTTCCTGTCAAAAAGGATGTGCAAAGTAGCAGCAGTAAAATATAACAAAACTAAATTGCTTCCCTTTAATCAAGTAAATAATCTAGAAATTTAAATTTTAAATTTTAACAGTGCAGTCTGTGCTTTGTGCGTTCTGCTGTCTGTCTACAACTAAATTTTACAATCACAATCTTTATTGAAATGGAGGAAAGTCAGCATCTCTCCGTGCTCCTGTGAGAGACTTGCTCTCTTCTGGGTGCAGATACTCCCCCCAGCAGAGAAGAGGTGCTCTGATGGAGCGGATGGGAAAGTGGCGAATGTTTGTGGCAAACTTCCCTCCAAACAGCTAAATTTGAACAATTTTGTGTAAACACTTCATTTCAACGGTAACTCTTTGTCCAGCTACCCTGTGTGTTCCTGAAACTGTTAGCAAATGGATGCGGCTGCCACCTTTTTCGCCTGTCGGTACCTATCTGCTGAGTCGGGAGTCCTTCGGGCCATGCAGTCCCTAAAGGCCTCTTTCTTCAGCTTGATGGCCTCCCTCACCCCCGGTGTCCACCAGGGGGTTCTTGGGTTACCGCCCTGACAGGCACCCACAAGCTTTTGGCCACAGCCATGCCTGGCAGCTTCCACAATGGAGGTTTTGAACAGGGTCCATTCAGACTCCATGTCTCCTACCTCCTGCCGGACATGAGAGAGCTCTCCCGGAGGTGGGAGTTTAAATCATTCCGAACAGGGGCCTCCGGCAGTCATTCCCAGCACACCCTCGCTATTCGCTTGGGCCTACCGGGTCTGACCATTAGTCTTCCCTGCCATCTGATCCAACTCACCACCAGGTGGTGATCAGTCGACAGCTCAGCACCCCTCTTCACCCGAGTGTCCAGAACATACGGTCCCGAGTAGATGAAACGACAACAAAGTCGATCATTGACCTTTCAGCCAAGGAGCTCTGGTACCACGTACACTTATGAACATCCTTGGGTTGGAACTTGGTGTTCGTTATGGACCATCCATGCCTAGCACACAAGTCCAATAACAACTCACCATTCGGGTTTAGATGGGGCAGGCCGTTCTTCCCAATCACACCTCTCCAGGTCTCCCAGTCATTGCCAACATGAGCACTGAAGTCTCCCAGTAAGACTATGGAGTCTGTAGGCAGGACCCTTTCCAGAACCCCGCCCACTTGCTCCAAGAGGGCCGAATACACCGACCTGCTGTTTGGTGCATAAGGACACACAACAGTCAGAGTTTTCCTCTCTGCGATTTTAATTCGCATTGAGGCGACCCTCTCGTCCACCGGGACAAACTCCAACTGTACGGCTGCCAGCCGGGGACTCTGCTCCCGACGACTTAGCTCTGAAGATCCCTAGACCACACAAGCCCTTCCGCCTCGACAAGGCCCCAATCCAGGAAGGGTAAACGCTACATGTGTAACATAAATGTATCCATCACGCTCCATCACCATTGCCCCATGTAGAAAGTGACAGTTCAGCTCTTTATGGGCGTCTTTTATTATGCCTTTATTTCCAGGCATGTACCTGGTATCCAAGTTTATTCGTGAGAAGACGGACAGTGTGGTGATCTTCTCTGGTGAAGGGTCTGATGAACTCACACAGGGCTACATCTACTTCCATAAGGTACAGTTAATCTGCGCTCGATAATATCTGAGTAGTTTACAATCCAGTTGATTTTATTGTTATTCAGTAGTTACTCATCTTCATCTGCTCTTTATGTCACAGTAGGGAAGCCACATGCTTGTCATTGATAAATATACAGTTGTATGCAAAAGTATGAAGATCCCTGGTTGAATTACATGTTTTATTAATTATCTAAATGAAAATAAGTTAACCCATCATCTACAGGGAACTTAAATATGGCATTTAACTGCATTTAATTTTGTGCACAATTTCTATTTATTTGCTAAATTTAACATATTGGGAAAAAAGTCCAGTAAATAAACAGTAATTGTGCATTAAAATGTGCAGAAGTGTTGTTGCCTCTGGAGCTGTGAAAGAGTGACGCTGTGTTGATTGATCCAGGCTCCGTCACCGAAGGCCGCTGCGGAGGACAGTGTGCGTCTGATGAAGGAGTTGTACATGTTCGATGTGCTGAGAGCAGACAGGACAACAGCGGCTCACGGGTGAGGAAAAACCTCTGCTTCTCCATATGAAGCACCCACACCTGACAATCTACATTATTCTGTATATAATCCTATATAATTACACACCTTCCTGTCTGAAATAGTCTTTTTAATGCTTCTTTTGTCAGTTTTTCTTTTTTGTTCTGTTTTTCTGTTCTGTCTGAATTGCACTCTGTTTATGCATCGAAATAAAACGTCTTCACCAAAACCAAAATTCAGAACGCACTGAACCAAAAACCAAAAGAACTGACAGTAAATAAGAACAGTGTACATAAAATAAATATATTGATTACAGTGTGTAAGGCTACAGTATGTGACACTAAATCTCCAAGGCAATAAATTGCATTGTTTTTATTTAGGCTTTACAATTTGGCTGTCGCTTGTAATTTTTATTTATTTATTTATTTTTGTCATTTTTAAAAGGCTACTGCACACCAGTGCCACCACAAATGGCATTGGTGTGCTTTCTAGCCTGCTTCTGTTTTGCTGTATTCTGCATATCGAGCGGCACATTCTGTTTTTCATGTGCTTTCAAACCTCTAGAAGAGAAGCTCTTGGTTGTGGTATCTTCTCTTTGTACTCAAGAACAGTGATTTTTCTAAATCTCTTGTTTAGTGTTCCTAATGGAAACGAGATGAGAAAAATGAGAAATGGTTCCACACAACCAGCATTAAACTGTCTGAACACGGCGAAGAAAATGAACAAACTTTTTTAAACACTACTTCACATTTTCGTTGCCCTTAAAATTATGTGGAAAGTGTTAGATTTTGTCTCTTCATTGTAGGCCTCGTTGAACTTTTTTTTTGGTCAGAAATTTGTCAAAAACCAAAAGCACCATTTTATTTTTTTTTTTGGAATCATTTTCATTGGGGGAAAAATGTTGGTGGCTCTCTACTCTTTTAATTCCTTTTTTCTCTCTGACCTCTTCTCTTTAGATTGGAGCTGAGAGTGCCTTTCCTGGACCACAGGTTCACTGCCTACTATCTCTCCCTGCCTGAAGAGATGAGGGTGCCCAAGGTGAAATTAACAGCCTTATTAATCTTTAAAAGTTGTGTTTATCACTGGCAATAACAAAGCGTGTTGCAACTTGATTTGCCATTTGTTGCTCACTGAAATGTGGAGAAATGATTCTAAACTTTCAATACGTATGTTTGTTGTTATGTAGCAGGTATTTTATTATGATTAGTTATGAAAAGTTGTTGTGTGTCTTGCTTTGCAGAAAGAAAACCATCCTTTACATTTTTCCATGTTTTTTTTTTTAATTTTTTGACATCAAAACAAACAGAAAAAGTCACAAATGCAGACTTGAACCCTATCAGTACAGGATATCAATAAAATGTTGATGTTATTCCTTACATAACTGTGGTTTGTCATATAATCAAGTAATTACAGTTAAACAGCAAAAGCTCCAGAAGGTGAACTGACACTGAGGTTATGATGTTCATGCTTTATGAAAACAGGACGGTGTGGAGAAGTATCTGCTGAGAGAATCGTTCAAGGGCCTGAATCTGATTCCAGATGAGATACTGTGGAGACGTAAAGAGGCTTTCAGTGACGGTATGACGTCCACAAAGAAGTCCTGGTATGCGATCCTGCAGGACCACATCGAGTCTGAGGTACATACACACATACACAACAGACACTTGCAGACCCAAAGATCTAATTGTGCTTTTTATTTAGAGAGTAGGACCTGAGGTTAGGATAGACTTGGATGTAGGTTCTACAGCTAACTTCCAGATAGCTAGCTAGCTAGTCTCCTTATAGATCGAGCAGTGCTTCTGTCATGTTTAAAGTAAATTTCATGACACCTGATTCAGTTTGTTTGTTTATTTGTTTGTTGCTGTGTTTATCTTTTGAGGCCTGATTTATAGACTAGCTAGCCAGCAGGCCTCACAACTATCTGTCCAAACTTGCTTAAACAACAAATTTAGTGTGTTTAGAGATTAAAATATAACAGGATTCTTAGTCTTGTTACGCCTTAAAAGTCAATAAAGAGCCTAAAGAGCAGATTCAAAAGAGGCAAACTAATTCAGAATAGTCCACCAGCCATAAATATCCAGGCTACAGCAGTTCTTTGATCAGATACTGACTACTGACACACAACTAGAGGACTACAGAACTGATAGTCAAGCAATCTGCAAAGAAGTCATGCACATATCTCATATTTCATGCACATATCTGACATTTCACCCGTTTTAGCTCAATCTGTGGTCCCGAAGTAAAAAAAAAACTGTTTAAAAAGAAAACTTAGAGAGGAGTGTCATGATCTATTTAAACCCAAGGCATTAACTGAGATTGTGAGGTGTCTGTCCTAAACTCTATAACCTAAATTTATGCTTGTGAAAATAATACTTACCTTTTTTCATGTATTTGATTTTGTTTAAAGTTGAAAGATTTTAATTTATCATGAGTTTAATTTTTAAATAAAAAAAAAAAACTACATTTTCATGTGTCAGGCATCCCTCAGGCTCAGAGGTCTCTAGGGACTCCATGTCCCAGAATCCCCAGGGGATCACATGGTTCTCAGTTCTCCATCTTACTCCAATCACCGCTCTCTGTCGCCTGAGTATTAACTGGTTACACCTGTTCTGACATAATTAGTTTAGTATAAAGCCCGGGCTTTTAGTCTAGTTCGATGCGAGGTATTGTTTCTTATTCAAGAGCTACTGAGCGGTTTTTCTTCTGTCTATTGTGATTTTCCGTTTTTTGACTCTGTTTGCTATTTTCGACTTTCGCTCTTTTTGCCTTTGCCCTTTGGACTTTGTTCCCCTTGTTATGTTTGTCTTTTTGTGTTTCTTGCCTTTGCTGGATTTAACATTTGCCTGTTTTTTGATTTTGGATTACCCCCCGCCCCCCCCCTTCATTTCCTTGCAGGCCATCCTGAGCTATTTTCTTGGATGGGTCAGAACAATCAGTACGCAGCTGTTCTTCTGCACTAACGTCTTCTTGTGCGTCTTGTCTTTCAGACTCCGTGCTGCACTATACAAGCAGGTAAGCTTTCACCAGTTTCTGTTTTTCAGGTTTCAGGTGCCATTTGGTGAATGATGTTCTGCTTCAGGAGAATATGAAGGATTTGTTGTGAGGACGGGTAAGTCTTCATTTAGGTAAGTCATCTTTTACAGGATCTCTTTTAAACTGAGTGGGAAGGTGGTTACTTGGATTGTCTTGTTTAACTACTTGATCCGGTGTAGCTTTGTTCATCCTCTGTGGAATATCATACATTTCTGTGAATCGTCTCTTGAGAAAGGGATTTCTTTGCCAGTAGTGCAAATCATCGTCAGATTCAGAAGTTTCCTCAGTTTCTGACTGAACCGGATACTGTCTAGTCTTGAGTCGTCAAACTGGCTTAGGTTTGATGGGCTCTTCATCTATCTCTTCAGTCAGAACCCCACAAGGAAGTAGACCACCTCTGTGTAAAGTACGTGTGGGACCATCTTGGCCTTTGGGTTGGACTACATAGACAGGAACATCATTCAACTGTCTTAATACTCTATACACAGTGGATTTCCACTGGTCTGCCAGTTTCTGCTTATTATGTACTCCCAGGTTGCAAACCAATACTTGATCTCCTTCCTCTAAAGTGGACTGTCTGACAGGTTTATGAAATCATCTCGTTTCTCTCTGCCACTTTCTGGGCATTCTTCATGGCAAGATGGTAACTTTCCATCAAGTGGGACTTCAGATTTCTCACATACTGTGAATGAGACAAACTCAACTCCTTAAACTGGTAGACCAATGCAATGTCAATAGGGAACCTGGTTTGTCTGCCAAACATTAATTCATAGGGCGAGTGACCGATGACATTTTTAGTACAGTTGTAAGCATGGGTGAGGGGTTTAACAAAGTCACAGTCTTGTCCTTGTCTTTGATTGTGCCCAACATGCTGAGAAATGTCCTGTTATCGCTCAACACAGTTTCCCTTTGGGTGATGAGGGCTGGTCCTCACCTTACGAGTACAAAATTTCTTTTGATTGTGTGTGGTTCAAAATCTCTGCCTTGATCAATATGTAGTTTTTCTAGAAACCCATGATGTACAGTAAAATTGTTCCCACAGGCATTTTGCAACTGTACTGGCCTCCTGGTATTTAGTATACTTTGTACAATGGTCTGTGATTACAAGAAAGTCCTTATGTGTTATGGCTGTCGGGTTCTAAGGACAAAAAGTCTAAACAGACCAGTTCAATTGGCCTGGTAGTTTAAATGTTGACAAGGGGCGCAGCCTTTTCTTGCTGACACTTTCGTCTGACAAACTGCGCACAGGACTTCTCTTTCTTTTCAACATCAAAAGCCGCTTTTGGCCAGTAAAACCTGGGTTGAAGTCAAGAGTGCGTTCAGTTTCCTGAATGGCCCATGTCATCATGAAGACTTTTGAGAACTGCTGGTCTTAATGTTTCAGGCCACAAAAGCTGACAAACAGGCTGAGAGTCACACTGGCGGTTTCCATACAGCATGTCATTCTTTAATTCAAGGCAGTGCCATTCTTTTACCATCAACCTGAGAAAAGGACATTCAGTGCTGGAATGTGAAGGTTTTTTCGTTGCCTTTCGTCCTGACTAAAGGTAGGTACAGGGACGCTTCCCTTGGCACATTCAAGGTTGCCAGGCACGGCTTGTGCATGAGTGCAAGAGATTCAACCAATGTGACAGATGATCATACATTACTATGAATCATCTCTCTAAATAAAAAAGGGATTTCTTTGTCAGTACTGCAAATCATCGTCCGATTCAGAAGTTTCCGCAGTTTCTGACTGAACCGGATGCTGTCTAGTCTTGGGTCGTCGAACTGACTTAGGTTTGATGGGTTCATCATCTATCTCTTCAGTCAGAACCCCACCAGAAAGCAGGAGATCTCTGTGTAAAGTACGTGTGGGACCATCTTGGCTTTTGGATTGGGCTACATAGACAGGAACATCATTCAGATGTCTCAATTCTCTATACACAGTGGATTCCCACCGATCTGCCAGTTTATGCTTATTGCGTACTCACAGATTGCGAACTAATACTTTCTGACAGGTTTATCAAATCGTCCCTGCAATTTTCTGGGCATTCTTCATGACAAGATGGTAACTTTCCATGGTAAAGTGGGATTTCCGATTTCTCACGTACTGTGACTGAGACAGAGACTCAACTCCTTGAACTGGTAGACCAAATGCAACGTCAATAGGCAACCTTGTTTGCTGAACATTAATTCATAGAGCAATGTTATGGCTGTCAGGCTCTATGGACATAAAGTCTATACAGACCATTGGCCTGGTAGTTTGAATGTTGACAAGCGGCGCAGCCTTTTTATGGCTGACATTTTTGTTTGACACAGTTCACAGGACTTCACTTTCTTTTCATCATCAAAAGCCATTTTTGGCCAATAAAACCTGGATCGGATGAAGACAAGAGTGTGTTCAGTTTCCTAAATGGCCCATGTCATCATAAAGACTTTTGAGAACTCCTGGTCTTAATGTTTCAGGCAGCACAAGCTGACAAACAGGATGAGTCACACCGGTGGTTTCTATACAGAATGTCATTTTTTAATTCAAGGCAGTGCCATTCTTTTACCATCAACCTGAGAAAAGGACATTCAGTGCTGGAATAATGTGAAGGTTTTTCCCCTGCCTTAAACATGGTAATCATCTTTCCTACAACAGGTTTGGACTTCTGACGCATTATGATTTCATCCTGACCAAAGGTAGGTACAGGTACGCTTCCCCTGGCACATTGAAGGTCATCAGGCACAGCTTGTGGATAAAGTGCAAGGAATTGAACCAGTGGGACAGGTGATGCATTATTGGTACCACTGAGTTGTTTTCATATACCTGTAACAGCGTCAGTAGAAAGTACTGTGTATTTGCAACAGATGGTACTAAATGACATGATTCGAAAACTGCTGTATTTTTGTTTTCCCCTTTTGAAACTGTCATTAATCAACAGAGTATGGGGCCATCTTGAAAGACTATTTCCTGATTGACGTTAAATATAGAGCTTGAAAACACGAAGTTGAAAATGGATAAAGCAGCCAACCAAAGCTAGCTCACAGCATCCAGCTTTGCAGATGTAAGTATGTAGGTAAGATGGTTATTTGATATTTATTTTTTTGTTTTGCCTTTGTTGAACAGTGACGTCCGAGGTCTGCTGAAAGCTCGAGATGCAGCTTTTAAATCTGGCAACAGCGAAGAACTCAAAGTTGCCAGACACAACCTGAAGGCTGGCATCAGAGCTGCTAAACGCACCTACAGCACACAAATTGCAACCTACTTCAACGTCAACTCGGACCCCAGGCGAATGTGGCAAGGAATCCAAGCTGTTACTGACTACAAGAGTCAAACTAACAGCTCTCCATGCACAGACGCATCCCTTCCCGCTGAACTCAACACCTTTTTTGCCCGCTTTGAGGACACTGCTCTGGAGCATCCAACCACCATTGCCCTGCCCTCCACCACCACAGATGAGCCACTAACCCTGGCTACAGAAGAGGTGTGGAGAGCACTGTCGCGGGTTCCTACCCGGAAGGCAGCTGGTCCAGACGGTATCCCAGGCAGAGTAATAAAAGCGTGTGCCAACCAACTCGCGACACCCTTCACAGACATTTATAATGTCTCACTGGCGCAGTCCATCGTCCCTGCCTGCTTTAAAACAACAACCATTGTCCCCATTCCAAAGAAAACCAACATCTCCTGCCTGAATGACTACCGTCCCATCGCTCTCACACCCATAGTGATGAAGTGTTTTGAGAGGCTGATCCTCCATCACATAAAGAACAGCCTCCCGAGCACCCTGGACCCACACCAGTTTGCATACAGGGCAAACAGAT